TGTGACCACCACCAATCTAGGACGCTTTGGAACCACCCGTTTTTTTCCACGGTCGCCTAGCACAGGAGCAGCGAGAATCTCTCCTCTCCTTTCTCCGCACCCGTCTCAAGGCAGGAGGAACCAAAGGAAACTCCTCACATGGGGCGTGGGGGCAAAGAGCCCTTTCCACCGGTCCGCCAGGCCTCAGAATTGCATCACGATTCGCACCCACGCTCCGATCACCGCCTCTGCCGAACCCGTCCGTGCAAGGAGATTTTGCGGCACGCTTTTGTGCCTTTTGTTGTGTTTAGGCCCGGTTTCTTTATGCCCCATCAAGGGCTTTCACTAGCTAGCTCACCGTCACCGGACACCGGCGCCTGCAGCCGCATGTGCAGTGTGCCTATACAGTAATAGGGTTTCATGCTCATGTGCTCCTGCCCTGTCTAGCCTAGCCTGTAGTAGCGTGTAGTGTCTACCCCCTGCCCTGCCCGAGCCGGTGATGAAAATGTGTCTTCACCAGTTCACCAGCTTAACAATCGATTAGCAACGGAGAAAGTTGAGCTTCTTTTTGGTGTCGCTACTAGTGTAGCTCTCCTTTTTGCTACTGACAATGATCAGTGTGTTCCTTTTATCTTTGTTTAGGCGAGAAAAAAATACAGGTGTGGTGTTTGGTGAGTGTTAGTGCAGCCGATGCAAAGTTGCAAACACAGAAAAGATGGATGATTCCATCTAGTAGCAAGTAGACTGACGACGATATTGCGTGTCGCCCCTGTCATCAGACATTCACATCCTTTGGAACACAGGGATAAGAGAAAAAAAACAGAAATATTTTAGAGGGAAGCAGTTACAAAATGGAGGATTAGAAAAAAAAGAGGAATTTTAGACGAAAGATCAGAATAAGCCACAGTAAAATATAGGATTTTTGTTTACCGAATAGTTTGAGCGGGTGCTATATTTCATGCAGTTTTTTTAATCCAAAATAGTTGTCGAAGGAAATTTTCTACACTATTCATAATATACTCTGATCCATTCCTTCGAACCAGAGGCATGGACGGTAGCAATTTCTAACCCTATAATTTTTTCTCCATTCTTCCTATGAATGAACCAAAGAAGGCCTCAAGAGAGGGCAAGATGCATATTCGTGTTCCCATCACTCCAACTGCAATGCGAAGAACCACAAGTATTGTGCGGAGTATTGTTTTTAACACTAGTTAAACTGCAGTCTAAATACCTGACGCCGAAAGCATATACGGCAGTCAAAACAGTCTTTTTCACTGACCGCTAGTAGCAGTGGCAGTCTCCCTCTCCCACTACGAGGCGCATGACGAGAATAGAACAGCGAGTAAGCTGGCACATCTTGGAGCGGCGCGCGGAAGAAGAAGGGTACGGCTTCCGGCTTCGCGCCTGTGCCGCAGCAGCCACCAGCCAGCGAGTGCTCCACCGCTTCGGCCGTTTGACTGTCCTGTAGCGTCACAAGTAGCAGCTGGGGCCCACACTGTCAGTCAGAGCGGCAGGATAGGGACGCAGGGCAGGGGTGCACTACCCCTACACCCTACAATGATGATGTGTCGTCGCCTTGTTTGCCCAGCGACGGGGAGCAAGCGTGCTCGAGTACTACCTACTGGAAGAAAACCTGCCAAACGAAACAGCGCTGCACGCAGGGTCAGGGAGGAAACGAATGATCACCACCTGGCCGAATGTCCCAAACCGTACTTAACCAAGACGTGACCGTGATTAGCATGCGGAGATCGACCCTGGCGCACTGCACGCGCCATCATCGAGCTGTGGTTGCATCGGCGCATGACAGTACGGTGTGTTCACTCTCCTGTTGTGGTCGCGCCGCTGCTTCTTTCCTTCCCGCGAGCCGCGAGTCAACATTGTTGGTGAGGATATGAAATTGCTGGTGTTAATGTACCCTTAATTACGGTATGGTATGGATTTATACAAGCACGCAGGCGCGTAATGAAAGGGCTGAGAAAATACAAGCAGTCGGACAAGACCGGTACCGGTGCAGTAGTAGTGTTCTGTACTGTCCCGCGGAAAGATCTCGAGGGCTGCAGGGTCAAGTTTGCAGGTGAGCCATGAAGCGTAGCTCTGAATGCACCACCCGTATACAACGCACCGACGATCGCCATACGGCTGGTAGCATACGCTGCTGGAGTGCAAGCCAAGCCAGCTAGTAGCTCATAAGGCACCGTAGGTACCAGCAGCACAGTGTGGATACTCGTAGGACGCACAGTCGTAGCGGTGCCGTGGACGGACGGGCGGACGGAGGAGTTGGATCCTGTGTACTGGGAGTCAGAGTTGTTGGTGACGTTTTATTGAAGGCCGCCGTGAATGCGATACGATTTGCCTAGCCGTCCCGTATTGACAAATGCAGGCCAACGAACTCGCGTCGCGCGCGCGCGCGCTGCCGCCTTCTCGGCCGTGCGCTTGCTCGGGCTCGGGCAGTTTTGAGGCTTTGAGCCGGGCGGCCGGGGGTCCGCTGCTCCACTCGGCTCGGAAGCGGCACGGTCGCACGGACCACCACGGGCGCCGGCGGGGAATCGCCGAGTGCTGGGCTCTGGGCCTCTGGCTGCTGGCTGTCTGGACCACGCGAGGACGGACGACCCATCACACACGCACGCGCGTAGATGTGGGATGGCCGGGTGGGCCTCGTACTCGTATGGAATCCTATTCGTATCACCCGTTCACCACCGTCTGACTGTCTCAGCAAGCGTTGCGGCGCCCGCTTCATATGTTTCAAAATCCCGGCTACCACGAAAACGGACGACAAAAGTCTGTTAACTAGAGTATTTTTGTTTCCCTATTTGGTCATCGAAAACGGAAACCAAGCCGAAGGGTTGACGGGACACATAATAAGGATAATTTTCAAGTTAACCTTACATTTCTTGATGCGCGAAGGCCTTGTCATTCATTTATATGGAGGCATCAATGATGAAAAAGAGTCAAAATAATATTGGCCTTGTTCTGCAGCAATACTTTTCAGCAAACGAACAGTATTTTTCTCTCACAACAAATCAACGTAAGCTAAATTTCAGCGAAACAAAACGGACCATTAGCATTTTTTGAATCGCCGTCGGTGCCTAAGGACATATTTGTTATGAACGACGTATAGGAATATGAAGTAAAGAATCAAGCCACAGAGGAGACACACGATTTAACGTGGAAAACCCCTCCAATGTGAAGGGGAAAAACCACGGGCACCAGCCAGCAACAATCTCACTATCTCAAGAGTTTTGGGTTACACGCCTATGACGGCTTACAAGAGAATCAAGTCTGCACGAAACCCTAGCAAGGGTGTATATACCGCTCGCTCCGCCCCAAGCCTCCGGCTGACGGACCTCGCCTCCGCTCCGTCGAGCTTTGGCCTATATCCCGGGTGAATTTGGAACAACTCCAACAAACTCCACCTTGAGACAAATTCATCTTGTATCATAAATCAACCCTTCATCCCGAACATAACAAAGATAAAAACCATCAAAAGCAACAATAGTCTCTTGGACTATCCAATTAAACCAACTAAGCTTGAGCACAGCTCAAACTTAGCAACAGAACATGCTTTGTCATCATATCGGCCAGGATTATCATGAGTACAAATCTTGCATACCTTCACTTACCTTCTTCAATCACATCACGCACAAAATGATACTTGATATCTATGTGCTTAGTTCTCTCATGGAACATCCGATCTTTAGTGAGGTAAATTGCACTTTGACATCACAAAGGCAAACTTATGCAAGATTCAACTCCACAAAGCTCATTGTACAAACCTTTCAGACAAATTAATTCTTTGCATGCTTCACAAATAGCCATATATTCTGCTTCAAGAGTAGACAAAGCAACAACTGACTGTAAAGTAGCCCTCCAACTCACAAAGACAACTGGCCAACAAGTAAACACATAACATGTAAGTGATCTTCGCTGCCTAGATCTAGATCAAGACATAATCGAGAATCCACATAGCCAATAAGACCCTTATCGGTTCTTCCAAACTTTAAACAGAATCTGCTTTGTGCCTCGAGGGTACCAAAAATCCACCGAATCGTCCTCCAATATTCTTTGCGAGGATTAGACATATATCTACTAACAAGACTCATAGCATATGACAAATGCGGATGAGAGCAAACCATGGCATACATCAAAGACCCAACACACTAGAATAAGAAACCCTTGACATGTATTCAATCTCTGCATCTATACTAGGACACCGAAAGCGGTGACAACTTAAAGTGAGGTGCAATAGGGGTACTAACAACCTTAGCATTTTGCATGTTGAAACGTGAAGAACTTTCTTGATATAATTTTGTTGACTAAGAAATAGCAAACCAGATTTTCATCTCTACTAATTTCCATACCAAGAATTTTCTTAGCACTACCAAGATCTTTCATATCAAAACCACTACTCAATAGTTTCTTTAACTTAGTGATTTTAATCTTACTCTTGGCGAAAGAATCAAAGTATATCATCAACATATAACAATAAATATATAGGTGATCCATTAACATGCTTGATGTAAACACACTATCATACTTAGATCTTTTAAAACGTGTGCTAACATAAATGAATCAAACCTCTTGTTCCAATCGACGAGGGACCTGTTTCAAACCATACAAGGATCTCTTCAACTTGCACATATATTTTTCCTTGCCGGCACTATGAACCCTTCCGGTTGGTCCATGTATATGTCCTCAAGCTCTCCATGCAAAAAAACGCAGCTTCTTCACATCTAACTTTGCTCAAGCTCAAGATCATGTGAAGCAACAATACTAAGGAAAGTACTGAATTGAACTGTGTTTTACCACTGGAGAGAACACATCATTGTAGTCAACTCTCGGAATTTGACTGTAGCCTTTAGCAACTAACCTTGCCTTATACTTTGGAGGCTCGCTTGGAGATAAACCCTCCTTTCTCTTGAAGATCCATTTGCGGTGATGGTCTTTTTATTCTTAGGTAAAGGTACAATCTCCCATGTAATCGTTTCTTCTCAAGATCGCATCTCCTCATGCATAGCGTAAATCTAATTCTCGAGATCACCACAACGGATAGCTTCTTTATAGGTTGCTGGCTCATGAACATTCTCCACCTGTTTAGCACAACTCAAAGCATAGTAAGACAAATTACACTCTTCAATAAGACGCTTAGGAGGTGCAATTGTCCTTTTGACTTGCGTTGAGCAATAGGTAAATCCTCCTCTAACTGCAAAAATAAGAGGAGTTTGTTGAACATCATCATGAGCATCATCCTCAAAAACATCATTATCATGGTCACCATGCTCATCAACAGCTCCACCCGCACACCTCAGATCATCATCAACATGCTCCACTGCATGCGTATATCGCCTGCAATTTCTTTTCTCGCAACATAATCTGAGGGCAAACCGTCAAGAAACATCACAGATTCATTGAAAACAACACTCCTGCTCATAAAAGTCTTTTTCTGCTTCAGATTCCACAATTTATAGCCTTTGACTCTGAACTATAACCAAGGAAAAGACACTTAATGACTCTAGGCTCTAATTTTCCATTATCAACATGAGCATAAGCAACAGCATCCAAAAACTTTCAACTATGAATAATCAAAGAAAGCGCATTGCAGACCATACCTCAATGGGAGTTCTTTTATTTAGTGGAATAGAAGGCGACACTGTTTATCAAGTAACAGCGATTAGCGACTTTCAAATTTCAAAAATGCTTGCTCATCCCGGCATTAGACAAAGATGCAACGGCCCTGGACATTATGGTTCGTTCATGCGTTCGCCACACCATTCATTGTGGAGTATGGGGTATGGTGTGATGCCTAACAATGCCTTCCGATCTGTAATAATCATTAAATTCACGCGAACAAAATTCTCCACCATTATCGAGACGAAGCAATTTTACCTTTCTTTCGGTTTGCCTTTCTATCATTACTTTCCAGGTCCTTAAAAGCAAAGAAAAGTATCATCTTTACTTTTAAAATAAGGCCAAACCCTTCTAGAGTAATCATCAATAATTGTAAGCATGTAACGAGCACCACCAAGTGAGGACTTACGAGAAGGGCCCCATAAATCAGCATGAACATAATCAAGAGTACCTTTAGTGGTGTGAATAGAAGTGTTGAAATGTACCCTTTTATGCTTCCCGAAAATACAATGCTCACAAAACTTTATTTTACTCAAAGTGCAGCCATCCAATAGGTTTCTCTTCATCAATTCTGCCATACCATGGTGACTCATATGTCCCAAACGCATATGCCAAAGGTTAGTTTTACTAGGTTCATCATTAGTAACAGCAGCAACAGCGGAATCAGAACCAGGTAAAGTACACCCTCTAAGGACATATAACTTTGCAGAATTAAGATCACCTTTCAAGCAAACAAGAGAACCTTTTGATACCTTCAGAATGCCATCTGAACCGGAATATTTGTAACCTTCTGCATCAAGCGTGCTCAATGAGATAAGATTTTTGGACATCCCTGGTATATACCTGATGTTTTTCAGCGTGCGTGTCATGCCATCATCAGTCTTGATCTGAACCGATCCAATCCCCACAATGTCACACGGGTTATCATCTCCCATCCGCACAACATCCCCTTTCTGCATAGGCTTATACGAGCTAAACCAATTTCTGTTAGTGCAAATATGAAATGAACATGCGGAATCGAGAATCCATTCATCATGACCAGCAACACAACCAGCAAATACTACCAGACAATCTCCAGAATCATCATTAGACGCAGCAGCAGCAGCAACAACAGAGACCTTACCAGCCGACTTGTTTTTCCTCTTCTCCTTATTCTGTACTTTTCTGCAATCCTCAACATTATGATTTGTCAGCTTGCAATAAATACAGAACTTTTTATTACCATGCGGCTTAGACTTTGAACGGCCTCTCCTTTCGTAGTTCTTTCTTCCATCATTGCCATCATTGGAGGATCTGCTGATTCGCCTCTCACATGCAAAGCATCGCCCTTGGAGGACGACGTCCCCGTCATTCTCGCACCATGCCTCTCATCTTCTCCCTAGATCGAGAGCCTCATAAACTTCCTTTAGGGTTAGTTCATCACGGCTCAAAAGTATGGTGTCACGAAAATTTGCATACAAATTTGGCAAAGAACATAGCAGTAAAAGACCTAAGTCCTCATCATCATACTTCACCTCCATCGACACTAGGTCGGCGACGATCTTCTTGAATTCAGCGATGTGGCTCATCACCGAATCCTCCTCCTTCATCTTCGGGGGTGAACAACTTCATCTTCATCTCGCATCTTCTTGGTTAGATCCTTGGACATACAGATCGATTCCGATTTCAAATGGCATAGTTCTGCAACAGTTTTCTCTTTCAGACACTCCTACAAAATATCATTATGAAGATGCAACTGAATTAGGGCGAGCGCCTTCTGATCCTTGCGGATCTCTTCTGGAGTCCACTCGACCTTCCTCTTTCCAAAACTATCCAAATACCTCATCATAGTCATGAGTCTACGCCGAAATCCCCGCATCTTGACTTGCCATAGCGAGAACCGCGGTCGTAGTTCAAAGCAATGGAAGATCGAACTTCATCGACGTCGTCATGAACCCTAACAAAGACAACCAAAGCTCGGTACCACTTGTTATGAACGACGTATAGGAATATGAAGTAAAGAATCAAGCCACAGAGGAGACACGATTTAACGTGGAAAACCCCTCCAATGTGAAGGGGAAAAACCACGGGCACCAGCCAGCAACAATCTCACTATCTCAAGAGTTTTGGGTTACACGCCTATGGCGGCTTACAAGAGAATCAAGTCTCCACGAAACCCTAGCAAGGGTGTATATACCGCTACGCTCCGGCCCAAGCCTCCGGCAATGGGCCTCCGCTCCGCTCCGTCAGAAGCCCGGCCTATATCCTAGAGTGAATTTGGAACAACTCCAACAATATTTTACCCGATGTGCGAACGTAGGTACAAAATTCTACACATGGTTGTGGATATGAGTAAAAGATTTTGCCTACGGGTACGGATGCCGATGCATCGCCTTTTAGCCGTTAGTTGATATTCTAGTGATAATATAAATTGTGGGTGAGCGTATCCACGTGTATTGTAACTTGACGGGAGTGAGCGTAAGTACAAAATCTTACACACGGATATAAGCGTGGGTATGAAATTTTAACCGATATGCAATTTGCTATGCATGAGTATGCCCTAGCAGGAACGGAATCGAGATGGCTAGGAACAAAAAATGAAAATGGGACATTTAAGAATACTAAAAGTCTGAAAGAAACAAATACAGATGGAAACTGTAACACCCTCGGTGTTGCACTATAAATCATTTGCTAAAACACGTCATGAGCATCATGTTTATGTGTTAATGCATGTAATATAGAGTGTGGATCAAGTTCCGTAACGCAAAACGATCAACGGAAGCGCGAAACGAGAGTTAAATTCCATAGTCATGTTATATCACTTAGGGTTTAAAACCATTTTTTATTAAGCAAAAATGCTATAGAACATGTATGCGCTACTTGAATAAAGTTTGAAGTACAAACTTTGTAGATGGCGATGGAATACCTGCGGTCGAAAAATGATATCACTAGCTAACATTTTTAATAGCTTGGAAATTGAATTTGAAGCAAAACCAACACAAGACTTGGTCGATTTCTTATGTCGGAAAATAGGTTGACAAAGCTATGTTTGGTAATTTTTGTAGAAGGATTGGGTTAAAGAGTGGTGTTGCATTATGGCTTGTTTTTGTAGCCTCATATGCCCTCTTAGGTATAGCAACGCTGGTTTGGATGTTGGGTCCACCGACTGAGTGAATTGGACGCTTTAAAAAGCGTGCATGGCACGTTCTGGGTCGGGTTCCTTACGTAGGCGCGGCCACCGCGCTCCTATGCCGTCGGCAACGCGCCGGCCACGCGCGCGCACGTGTCTGGCCACGCTCGGCTGGCCATTGTGGCCGTCAGCCCGGGCGTGCAGCCGTTCCTCCTCATTGTCGCGATGCGCGTTGCCGCTTGCGCCGCTGCTGGTGCCCCTGGGGCCGCCCGCGTTTGCTCTGTTGCTTGGCTCTGCTCCGCCAGCCGCTGTCGTCGTTGCACCGCTACGCGCACACCGCCTTGCACATGGGTGCCACCACGACGCCTGTCTCTCTCTCTGCTCTGTTGGCGCTGTGTCAATGCGGGATCGAGGCCGCTGCCCTTTCACACGCGTGCTTGTCCCCGCTTGGGATCAACCGTGCCTGGTTGATGTGGCATGGAGCTCCCACGCGCGGCACATCATGCCAAGCCGCTGCTGGTCTCGCCATGCGCCGCACGTGGAGTTGTCGTGCCCTCGCCTTGTTCTTTTCTGTTGAATGGCTACGCGACGCATCGTGTTGTCCCTTCTCTGCGTCTCTCGCGCGCGCGCTGTTGCGGCCACCAGGGACGGCAGGCGGGACTGGGCCACGCCAAAGCCAAATTTGCAGCGCCTAGTCATTGTCAGCGTAATTACTTGCGCCAGGTGCTAGTATTGGAGTTCTGCTACCGCCCAGTCATCTCCGGTCTTCAATTCAGCCCGGCCAAGTTTCAATTGGCCGTTTTCCCCTCCGTCGTGCCATTAAGGCCGGAACCGGCCGTGGCCGAGGGCAACCACCCGCCGCACCACCACCTTCACCACGAGTTCTGCCTTCACCTCCACTTAACCTTGCGCACCCCACTTGCACTGTCACTGCTTTCCTGGTGCTGCTAACGTGGCCGCGCCACCACAGTCCGTCGCTGGGCTTGCCGTGTGCGCGTGGCCAGACGCGCCCGGTCCGTTCCCAGTTAAGCCACCACCACATGTAGCTACGGGGTGAGTTGCTGATGCCCACCCATTGGTTCTTTCACCTTGGTTGTACCTAGGCTCATTGGAACACGGCCGTCGCCGCCGCAGGGTGTCCGTCGCCGTGGAGGGAGCTCTTGACCGCGTCCCCGCTCATCTCTTCACCGCCCATCGATTTGTGTCTGCATCTAGGTGAGCATCGGCACCTTAGAGGGGCGGGGAGGGGCCCGGATGGCCGGCGTAGCTGTCGAGTGCCATCGTCGCTGCGTAGGTGCGCGCGGGGGTGGCCCGAGGACCTGGCCGTTGTAAAGAAGGATTGTTCCGAGGGCTAGTTTGTTTAAGTCCCGACTGTAGGAATAGGCCGCATAGTAATTGGGTGAATAGTGGTTAGAGTGGGGGCGTTTTCGCATAAGTGATCGCCGCGCGCGGGCCTCCCCGTCGTGGGTTGTTTCCACGCGGTTGGGCCGCATCCCGCGTGGGCAGCACCGACTGGTCACGCGTGCGTGGGTCGCGTCGGTCGCTCGTGGGCAGCGCGGGTTGAATTCGTTTTTCATTTTTATAGAAGATAGAAATAGCTTTATATTTTACATTCTAAGTTGAACTTTGGAAATTAATATCAATTCATACAAGTATCCAAAAATTGTGAAATAAATTATGTTGAGTTCCTAAAAATGTTGTCTACCTGATAGTATGGTTATGTAACACCCCGGTGTTATGCCTACATTTAGGCACTGCAAATCACGCATATCATGCATCATCAAGCATCCTATTCATACATGCGTAATCTTGCATATAACAACTGAATCATTACTTCGAAACATACGAAACATGTTTGTGAAACGTAAATGATGCATACACTTATTAGAGTTGTTTTGCTCTGATTCTTGCTTGCTAGTTGAGTAGAAACTGTTGGTTATGCTTGTAAATCATCTAGAATTGTTTAGCAAAATTTTTGGAGCAAGGTTTGTATTCAAATTAATTCAAAACTTTGCTTCCAAAGTAAATTCCCAAAATTAGGGTTTTGAGTTAAAATTTAACTTTGATTCTATAATTTAAAAATCTAGATAGAATTGGACTTTGGTCATAAAAGCAAAGTTGTAGGGAATTAAATTCTAAGCAACTTTCATTTTTGGTACATTTTCAAAAGAGGTCATTTTCTTGCTCAAAATAATGTTTGAAAGTTGGCATTTAAAAATATCTTGAATTTTTATTTGAAAAAATTTTCTCCTTGGCGGTCATTACCGCCTGCTTCGTCTCACCACCAGCAAGCCGGCCCGGCCTGCCTCCGCGCCCGCCGCCAGCTCTCACCACCGCCTCGGCCCACTGGCTCATTGCCGTGGCCCACTCCACCACCTTGCTGCCTTCTCTCTCCATGCCACGCCCAGACACGTCGAGTACGCCACACATGAGCGTGAAGCGTTGTCACCCGGTAACCACGGTGGCGGTGGCGTCGATGGCCCCCGCAAGCCACACAGCGCCAATATCACGCCACCGCAGACCCATCCCCCCCCCACGGCGCATCACTCACACTCAAGACCGGCCAAGCAAGCTCCTTCCAGTAGCGAGAGCTCGCCACCGAAGGCCCATGGTCGTTCGCCCGGCGAATTGCTCCCCCTCCCTCGCCTCATTCTCCGATTCCTCGCGCCAGGCAGCTCCGCCTCGTCAAGCCCCTTGATTCTTGCCCGTGTGTGTGGCTGCCGTCGGCGAGGTGAGAGGCCGTGGTGACCGTTTTCTTCCTCGCTTCGGCCATGGCTAAGCTTCGTCGAGCTCGTCTTGCGCGCGGTGAACCGCTCCACCTCGGTCTTCCTTATCTCGCGCATCAAGACCGCTTCTGCCCGCGACCTTTGTGCGCTTTTCCGTGGGTTGCCGTGGCGGGAAGCGCCGCCATTAACGCCATACGCATGCACACCTGCTGTAAAAGCCGGTGAGGCGCTCTGCCTCGGTGGCCAGTAGAAAGCCGGTAGGTGACGACATGCTGATGGGCCGTCTCCCCCCTCAGCGCTCGAGCAGCAGCAGGCGGTGATGGCCGTGGGCCAGCTGTTCCCTTCAGCCGGCCCAGTGTTGTTTAAAGTGAATTGATTTCCTTTATTATTTGTTATTTGAAATCAAAATGGTTTGAAAAATATTTGGATGATCAAACTTGTTCCAAATTTGTTGAAACAAAATTTGCTAGGTTCCTTATCACCAGATCTACTTGGGAAAAATAGTGCATGTCATTT